CTTGCAACATTATTCCACCCACAGCTGTGTTAGTTTCCCTCCATTATATTACATATGAAATCAAAAAACCTCTGTTGAATAAAATTATGGTTATTTCCGGGGAGGGCAGGTGCTTTGTTTTTTTTTTAAAGACAGGCAGATCCACTGGTTTTTGACTTGATTTTCTTTAAGGTGAAAAGAAAATGAAACATAAAAAATGTTAAAAATCTGGCAGTCCCCATGCTTAACAGACTGTCACAATAGTTACCGAATGTGTTGGCAGGGTTCCCTTATCTGCTGAAGCACTCTCTAGTGTGCAAACAATAAAAATTAACTTAAGCCAGATTGTGATTTCCGGAGGAGGACTTTTGTCATGTGAGGGGAACATCCATTTTCACCATCTCTCTCCTCTCAATAGCAAAGTAAGAGGAAAAGTAGATGTATGGGGTATGGCTGGAGGTGCAGGTGATCCTTTGCACACACAAGCTCCACTGAAACTATGAAGCAGATCTATTTGTACTCTTATATCACCAGTGGCCTACTGGCTGTGTTTCGGCTAGTCTTGGTGGGTTCCTATCATTCCAAGCACACCTTCATTATACTGGAAAAGTTCTTATTTATTCAGACATTCTGGTTTATGTGTTTAACAAAAGTTCCCAGAGGTTAAAGCAGAAGTTCATGTTTAGTTTGCTTGGCTTTTACTTTTTCTTCCTATTTTTCACAGACTCTTTAGTCAGTCTACTCTTCAGAGAAATTGTACCTTTCCACATAGGTTACTTCTGAACGCACTCTCAATGGGAAACAGTGAAAGGCACCAAGGCAGCTTAACTGCACGCTGCTTATATCTTGCCTCTGCAATGGATGGAAGGTCATGTCCTTGCCCTTAGGTCAGACCTAACCACTAATTCTCTCTTTCTCACTTCTTTGACTTATGACCCAGGGGGCAATATTTCAGAATTACTTTTAATGTGAAACAGTTTGGAGGACAGAGTCAAATGCCTCTGTAAATGTAAGACTTGAGCCCAAATTTCAAAGACAGAATATAAACACCCAGCAAAACGAAAGGAAGCTCCACAAATTTGTCAAATTTAAGAAATATATTGTCAAGCAGGTGGTAATTAAGACATTTTAAATACGGGACCCATTTATCTCACTGGGAACTGTAATTCTAACTCAGCCAGCCAGAGCAATGTGTCCCATTAGAGTTGTTTGGGATTTTTTTTTTTGCCTATTCATTTGCATGGTCTTCTGGGAGGCAGAACAGATACCTACCTGTCAGTAAAATGTAAAATAGAGAAGAACTGCACTCCTAAAATCTCACTGTTACTTTATAAATGTTCTTTCAATTTAAGTCATTGTCTCAGGAGGTAATTGTCTTTGAGATAGGAAAAAAAAAAGTCAGGTGTCCATCATTTTGGAGTATAAGAAGTTATTTGTGAGTGATAATTGCTATTCACTTATATATCTTGGGATTATTACAACTTCTTTGAAAAAAAATCACAAAAGATTTAGCAGTAGTATTCTCAGAACAGCATGTAGTTACATCTCTGTAAAATTTGATAGTCTATACAGGACAAGACTAAATACTAGAAATACAAATGAAAAGATGAAATTAAAAGCAAAATGCTGTTCAACTGTATGTAGTCAACAAGATAATTTTTACATGAGCAATCACCAAACTTTTAATGGTATACTTCAGCCTACAAAGAAAGATCAGGGGCTTGTTCCATTAATTACATCCATGAAATGAAGAGACTATTTTGGATGGCAGAGAGTAACCTATGAAAAACAAACATAGATTACATAAATTATAAATTGATACAGTGCCGTGGTTAAGCTTGACATCTATCCCATTCAGTAGAAAGGCTTGCAGACAGTATATTGTCTGCTGGAATTAATGAATACAGATTCAGGCTCTCTTTGCCATGAAAGATAAAGCAAAGTTGTTTCAAAATCCTGAACCAAACATTATCAGATGTATTTTCACATTAATTTGTGCCCTCAGCTAATGTACAACCCCCTTCCATTTGTCTTGCAGAGAGCACTACAAAAGTTTCCAGCAAGTAACTGAAGAGAATCCAGAAAGCCTCTGAGCAAACAGTATGCAAGAATTCAAACATGTTTGAGAGGCATACCCTGAATGGGTGGAGAAACATTGCCTTCTTACCCTATTGATCAAGTATATTGTTGACTAATTATCACATCATAACATTTCCAATAAGCAGACTATGACTAACATTGCATTCTAGTATATTTACAAACTGTCCTTTAAATAATTTCCTCCATCCCAGGTAATCATCTAGCACCTCTAAGTGAAATTTGTTAGACTGATGATCTCACTGGCACCATGTGTCTCCTACTTCTCTGCTCATCCCACCAAAGTTTAATTTCCTATTTTGGAACCCCATAAGAGTTATCTAGGATCATTTACCGCAACTTGTGCAATTGTCTTTATTGTTTAATATAATGGCATGCTTTTAAACATACATAGACTATTATGGCAAATATTATTTGCCATCTGAAATCATAGCATATTCTCCTTTTGACTTGAGAAGTCCTCAGGCATCAACAGTTCTTGCTATTACATTGCAGAATAAACTTATATTTTGCCGAGTGGTTTAGTCCCTATTTTGTATCACTCATGTCCAGTGCAATTCTAATGCAGGACTTTCTAAGAGGAAAACTCAGTAAATTTCAGCGTTAAGGACTGAAGAGTAATTCAGATTTCAAAATGAGAAGCTCTTTCTTTTCTTTGAGGGGCAAGGAGGCAAGGGGAGACTAACTGGAAACAAACCAGGTAAATGAACCAAACTTTGTAAAATTTGGCAAGGAATTGCTATTTTTAGGAAGCTTTTAAATACCTGTTAAACTGTAGTACTCTACATTGAGGTGATAGTGGATTTGGGATATCTCATTCCTCCTGCTTTTTCTCTTAAGTATGATACTTCAATATTGCAGCCAAATCGAAGTTGGGTTACAATCAGACTTATGTCCAATGTCACTACACTAACTCTGTGGGATGTGATCAAGATGCATACAGGACTCTAAAGGCAGTCAGTCCAGTCCAAAACTCCTGAAGCCTCCCAGAACCAGAAGTGGGCAGATACCTATTTTCACTTTCTTGTATTGCTAAGCCTAAGGAAATAAGCTCTGCCAGACCAAACTGGCACCATTCAGAGCTAACTGCTGTTCTTCATCAGTGGCACTACATAAAGTAAAATAGCTGGGAGTAGAAGCAAAGTCCAGAATGGTAAGTTTTTGTAGGCAGTAGAGGTGGAAAGATACTCTTATTTCTCTCAAACTAAATCTGCATCCTCATCTATTACATTTTAGGCTTGAAAGTAGTGACAGGTGGATAAAGGGTTCTCTGCATGTCCTGCAGGACTCCAAAGAGTTGTGCATATTTCCGTAGGTTGCTTAGATGCAGACACTTTCTCCTCATCCATAACCTCGACCACTGGGTCATTCATTTCCACAGTAGTCAGCTTTGGGAAGTTACAGAAGATACTGTGTATGCTAATATCCTCTAAGAAGGAGGAAAATGAAGTTTTCTGCTGGTAAAATACACTTGGGGGGGGGGGGGTATGATACAGGAGGGAAGGCTGGGGGAGGGGCAGGGTAACCAACCTTCTTAAATCTTAGTCCTTACAGTGAAACCTATCCTGAGAGTCTGAGTTTGTGTTAAACTTGTGCCTCCCATGACAAATTTGTTTGAACATGAGCAAGATAATTCATAAATGCTAAAAGACAAACCTGGGAACAATATATATGCCTCTCTGTTCATAAAGTTCCTGGACTCCAGTCAAAAAAAATCTTATTTTAATGAAACAATCAATTTTCTTCCATATGGCAATGCAAACTTAACCTTATGTAATTAAAATATTGAAATTCATATTCTCTATTTTCTGATGCACATGTGCAAGATCAATATGTGACAACTAATATTTACCCAGCCAGGCAGAGATTCATAGAGGGCATTTAATTTCTAAGCTTTCCTTTTTCCTCCCATCTGGTTTTACTAAGCTACCTAGAAAAATGTTAATTAGTATTTTTGCATAGCATGCAGATATAACTTTTGAGGATCAAGAATTAAATCACATAAATAAAATGTTCAGATTAGAATAACTACACATGATTACTTCTCTTTACCACATTTATATGAAGTAAAATTGTTCTATGCACATACAGGAGGAGAAAGCTCCACAGTAGGAAAAAGCAACTGCTTACAAACAAACCTCACTTTAAAAACTGTAAAACAGGAAAGTAATTTCAAATATTAGATTCTGCCTCACCCATTAGCTTGAAAATATAGACAAAATTAAAATTACCTTTTGTCAAAATCCTGGCTTTTAAATGCAAACTGCAATCCATTACTGTCTAGTCAATTTTTAGTGCAATTGACTGCAATTCTAGAAACACTAGTACTATCATATCTACCAAGTTAAAAAGCCTTTGAGGTTTAGTGATACTCCTTCCTGACATTTCAGGTTTAGCAGGACGTTAATTAGACACACACCGCTGTGTTGCTTTAGGGCATAGCACAACAGGCCAGTTTTTAGCTACTTGCGAGCTTAGAAGCCTTAGGAGATACCAGCTTGAGACCTATGGCAGGTTTAAATTGTCTTTTTTCCTGCACATTTAGAAAAT